GTTATAACTTAGGTGTAAGCTTCCCACCACTGTCTTACTCATCTACAATAAATTTTGAGAGAAGTAAACTTAATTATTAAATTTATGTACATTATTCTTTAATTTTAGGTCAGACTGTGTCAGAATCCCAAACTTCAATTGAAAAACAGTCCACCTTACATACTTGACATTTTACCGGATACGTACCAACACTTGCGACTTATTTTGGGCAAATATGATGAAAACCAGAAACTTGCGCAGCTCAGTGAAAATGAATATTTTAAAATCTATATTGATAGTCTCATGAAAAAGTCAAAACGAGCTATAAGACTTTTTAAGGAGGGAAAAGAAAGAATGTACGAAGAACAGTCACAGGACAGGTAAGAGAATGTACATATCTATCCAAACTGTTTAATTCTTTTAATGTATATTTATATATTTTTCTCTTTTGGAACATTGTGATGGTGAACCTTTTCGGCACCATGTGCCAAAAAGGAGTGTGTGTGTATGCATGCTTCGCGTCTGGGCTTGTCGGGGATGTTACCCAGAAGAGTGGCCCGGGGACATGCGCACACCCGAAAATGCACTTCCGGTTTCCGGCAGGCTCATGCACACCAGCCAGCTAGACGTCTGGTTACTGGTGTGCATGCGGCGCAATGATCAGCTGCCCGGCGTGAATGCTCATTCCAGAAAATGGAAGAAAAGTTCTTCCAATTTCTTGCACTGCTGCATGTACAAAGGATAGCTGATTGCATGTCAGAAACTGGGAAGAGGAATGGGCACTGCCACCTGTGCCGGGCAACATGGCTCTGTGTGCCACTTTGGGCATGCATGCCATAGGTTCGTCATCATGATTCTATATACTTTCTGAACAAAATTCATCAGACTTTTTGTTGCTATTCAGAGTGAAAATACATAACATTTTAATGTATGTGCAAGTTTGTATTGTTCATAGCCTTTTTATGTGTTTTCCTAGACAGTCACATTTGAGGTTTGATTTTGAATCCTTAGACTGTTTATAACAAATAAAGATTAATTTGTTGAAAATACCAGTTTGTAATAGAATTAATTTCATTTATTTCTAAAATAGTTTTGCATCTTCTATTAGACTAGTTGCAGTTTAGTTGTATGTTTGGGAAGGCTTCTAAATGTCACTGTTGATGCTTGTTTCCCCCTGAGCTAATAGTGTTAAATGAAGTTTTTGAAGTCTGTTATGGAACTACTTGTATTTCTTCTATATATATGAAATAATAATTATACTCTAAACTTATATACTCTTTAGTTAATATTCCAGGTTTTAATGTTAATTATTAGTGACTAAGAATGCAAACTATATTTTAATAATGGTAATGTCTTAGTATTTTTAACGGCAATTTTAAATGCCATCTTTTTTTGTCTGCTAGAGATATTTCATAATTTAAAATGAGTACCAAGCATGTTTTTTATTTAAAATTAAGCATTTTTGTGATACAAGAACAAAGGTACTCACCTATTTGATGTATTAACTTCATTTATAGAAAGCATTTTTTTTCCCATTCTAACATTCTTAACTTAGCTGTTAACTTTTGGATAAAGTTAATAGCTAAGTAGATAATTAGAAGTGTTGATTTGAAAAAGAAATGCTGAAAAATGAGGAAAACCTTCTGACTTTGAGACAGGAAAGTGGGTGGAAAGCATGAAGAAATGGAAGAACTCAGTGGAAGAACTTAGTACTTCTATCCTGTCATTGCCTGAAAGGTTTTATTGATTTCTGACTTTAAAGTGGCCTAATCATCATTTCATATTTGAAACAGCTTAGATCGTCGGCCCCCCCCCCCACCAAATACAAGTACACTAAAAGATCAAATGTATGTACACAGAAACAGTTTTATATTTAAAGTTAAGTCACTTGTTACTAATTGGCTACACTTCAGGTAGCAAGCTAAGTAAATTTAAGTTTTCTGCTTTGCATTTTTAATTGTTTTGCATCATTTATAAAGCTAGTTACATTTTGCCTATGTATAAGTGTTGTGTCATGAGAAATGAAAATGGCCATTCAAAGCACAGGTGAAGATGTATTAATGCCTGAGATGCTACACTGAGCTCCATACATAGCACATGAGTGTTATTGAATAACTAAACAATCTGATTAATTGGGTTATCATTTCAGAGACATTTCCTTACCAGATTCCTCACTGCCTTCAACAATGGCAAAAATTCTAATGTACATGAAAAATTCTTATAAATTCAGGAAGAATCTGCCTTGAAAGTAGCTCATGTTGAACTACACACTCAAAAATCAGGTATTGACCACAGGAGACTTTTTACGACATTTTATATTGTCATAAAATTCTTTATGATAATTTTTGTATCATAAAGTATTTTATAAAATTTGCTAAATTTCAGTTTCATGGAAATCATGTGTCCCAGATTTTGGGGGCATACTGTCAGTCTTTTTGAGGTAACTGATATAGATATAGAAATATGGCATCTGAATACCTTTTCCAGGGCCTTCAAGGCCTACTCTACCAACGGCTAATTTGTGATATATTTTATGACTGCTTGTTCCTTTATTGTTGATGATAGTTCCTAAAAAATAGAAACCATGAGCCATTTGTATATCTTTATTAGCAATTCTAAATTGGTATAAATTATTCTGAGATTTAAAATTGCTTTCCAAATCAAATATCTTATGATATATGCTCCTGGGTACAGAAGTAGTCTGGTGGAGTTACAAGGGCAATGCAAATCAAGAGAAAAGTATATTGGAGAGAAGTTTAGATTTTCTTTTTTAAAGTACCCAAAGTAAGATCATGTGGGAATATATTAACAGAAACGTGATGATAATATTATTGCCATCAATAGAGGGAAGAATATTTTTGTATTCTCACACACGAATAAAGAATTTTCTTTCTTTCAAATGTCATTTAAAGGAATTTTATCCCAATAAAACTGATATAGTAATGTTTTAGTAACTTAAATATATTAATTAATTAGGAATCCAACTTATTAACAAAATTGAAAGTCCATAAAATAGATATTTCTGTTTATTTCTCTTTAATATAGAAATATTTATAAAATCAAGAAACCATCTTAGTATAACTTAGTATTGTAATCATCTATGTTAATAGTTTCTGTGAAACTGATGAATATATGGTTTGTTGAAATGGTAATGGAACACTATCATTAGAAACATGAACAAGGAAAAATCTTTGTTAAGATTAAAGCTTTTCTACTTTATATATCAATAAACTATGACTGGCTCATTATCACTTAGCTCAGTCTCTGAGCTTCAGACTTCCTTTTCTGTAAGATCATTTTTCTGTTAAGACTAATAGAACTGTAAATATTTTGCAGTAGAACCTATCGTTTGCTAGTAGATATATATACCCAATCATTTAAGACCAAAATAATTGGTGCCTAAGCATTGTCAGATTTTGAGCAAATGAAGCTAACCTCATTGAATAACTTACTAGCAATATGTTATTAGTTTAGCTTTAATTTTAAATATGAAAGGGTAGCTATTTATGTAAGTTGAAAGTAGATGAAATAAACAAATATGTATGGCAATCACTTTGAAGTGGCACATTGTCTAGTTCTGAAAGATTTTATATGGTAGTGTGTTTTTTTAATGTCTCTGTATGTGCACAAGAAAATTAATTATAATTGCTTAAGAATCTTTATGTTGATTCTGTCATTAAACATCTTAATTTTCAAGTTTTTCACAATAGGATTTGTGCAGTAATGTTTTTACAATTTTTCTTTCATCTGGAAACATCATAACATATGTTAGTTCAATTATATAATAAAATGGAAAGAATTATATGATCATTCTTTAATTAAAAATCATGAAAACCTTGGTTGATAACAAAAGTATATTGGCTGATTATTTTGCTTATACCTGTAGTTAAGACGAAAAATATGGGATGTAATTTTAGAAAAATGTTATACAGCTGTGCCATTAACATTTTACTTTTAACAAATACTTTTAAGTATTTCAACAGGCAGATATTTGATTTTCATTTTAATAATAATAATAATAGATAAAGGGGATATAATATAATAAATATGTACTTTTACATTGGTATTGTATTGCATAATTTAAATACACAAATTTTGCATATGGAAAAAGTAAATACACCCTTACATTTATCACTACTCAAAATACATAAAATCAGAATCAGATGCAAAAGATTGGAAACTAATGATAAAACATCTAGATCTAGAAAGAACCAGTCTTATTTAAACATGAGACGTTTAGTTTNTGCTTGTTCCTTTATTGTTGATGATAGTTCCTAAAAAATAGAAACCATGAGTCATTTGTATATCTTTATTAGCAATTCTAAATTGGTATAAATTAGTCTGAGATTTAAAATTGCTTTCCAAATCAAATATCTTATGATATATGCTCCTGGGTACAGAAGTAGTCTGGTGGAGTTACAAGGGCAATGCAAATCAAGAGAAAAGTATATTGGAGAGAAGTTTAGATTTTCTTTTTTAAAGTACCCAAAGTAAGATCATGTGGGAATATATTAACAGAAACGTGATGATAATATTATTGCCATCAATAGAGGGAAGAATATTTTTGTCTTCTCACACACGAATAAAGAATTTTCTTTCTTTCAAATGTCATTTAAAGGAATTTTATCCCAATAAAACTGATATAGTAATGTTTTAGTAACTTAAATATATTAATTAATTAGGAATCCAACTTATTAACAAAATTGAAAGTCCATAAAATAGATATTTCTGTTTATTTCTCTTTAATATAGAAATATTTATAAAATCAAGAAACCATCTTAGTATAACTTAGTATTGTAATCATCTATGTTAATAGTTTCTGTGAAACTGATGAATATATGGTTTGTTGAAATGGTAATGGAACACTATCATTAGAAACATGAACAAGGAAAAATCTTTGTTAAGATTAAAGCTTTTCTACTTTATATATCAATAAACTATGACTGGCTCATTATCACTTAGCTCAGTCTCTGAGCTTCAGACTTCCTTTTCTGTAAGATCATTTTTCTGTTAAGACTAATAGAACTGTAAATATTTTGCAGTAGAACCTATCGTTTGCTAGTAGATATATATACCCAATCATTTAAGACCAAAATAATTGGTGCCTAAGCATTGTCAGATTTTGAGCAAATGAAGCTAACCTCATTGAATAACTTACTAGCAATATGTTATTAGTTTAGCTTTAATTTTAAATATGAAAGGGTAGCTATTTATGTAAGTTGAAAGTAGATGAAATAAACAAATATGTATGGCAATCACTTTGAAGTGGCACATTGTCTAGTTCTGAAAGATTTTATATGGTAGTATGTTTTTTTAATGTCTCTGTATGTGCACAAGAAAATTAATTATAATTGCTTAAGAATCTTTATGTTGATTCTGT